CCATGAATTTGATATGTAACGACACAGAAGACAAGGGCCAGACAACAGATTGTTTTTATTGAGAAAATCAACAGATATTTATAGATTTTTATGTACATTATTATTAGCGTTATTGTTAGCAGAGAAGCAACGGCTTCTGATTGCTTGTTTTCCTGCTGAAGGTTATTCTGTCATCTCTTTGTGGCAGCTCATTAGACAGTCCGGTCATATATCGACGAATCGTATCTGACCACGTTAAGTATGCTGTGATTGGCTGGTGAGTTCCTCAAGGTTAAGCTTTGTTATTGTTTTTTCTCATGAACAAGATATGGGGCGTAAACACTGATGTAAATTGCTGTCTACTAATTCTGGCTAGCAGACAGCTCTTACCACAGATACACCCTAGTAAATATTTAGACTTTAATTCATCCCATTCCAGAATCGGTAGAGGAAGATAGGTTTAGTTAAGTGTCTTATAATAATAATAATAATAATAATAATAATAATAATAATAATAATAATAATAATAATAATGGGAAAGAGATAATAGAGAAGATTTGTAGCTCAGGTGGATGATTTGCAATTAGTAGTGTTCTCTGAAGAGGCGGTTGGTTTAGTTGCGGAGCTTTCGTCCCACATCTGGACAACATCCCCCTTCAGCGCAATTCTTAGCATAAAGTGAACTGATTTAAATTTTTTCCACGAGTGATAGAATCGTGTCTCCCAGTAACCATCTTTACATCTGTATTGATAATTTTCTATTGACTTGGATTTGAAAATTTTTGTTACATAATTTACTTTTTATTAGTTGATAGATGTGGTCTGTATTAACAAGTTTGTTAATCACATATTCGTTTGACTATCAGGCTTCTAGGAATTCCCTGACACTTCTGGTGTTTCCTCTGTCTAAAATTTCTACATTATCCCAATCAAACTGATGTCCATAATTATTTACATGCATTGATATGAACGAATATATACCATGTCTTTTCACAGTTGATTTGTGTTCCTGGATTTTGATTCAAAGAGGACGCCCACTTTGGCCCACTTTAAAATCCAAGTCAATAAAAAACGATCAGTATTTATGTACACATGGTCACCAGGAGACGCAATTCTATCACTCATGGAAAAAATTTAAATCAGTTCACTTTATGCTAAAAATTGCGCTGAAGAGGGATGTTGTCCAGAAGGGGGATGACGAAAGCTCCGCAACTAAACCAACCGCCTCCTCACAGAACACTACTAATTGCAAATAACATAAGTTCATTGGAATGTTTTAATAAATTCAAATGGGCGAAATGAAATGAATTAAACTCCTTTACTTTGACATCAAAAATATGAATTACAAGCTTTCAAAAGTTTGTATTTAAGGGTCTGCTTTGTTTGAACTTTGAGTACACGTTGATATATGAGTTAAAGAGCCATTAAAAACCAGCAGGTATTATTATTATTGTTGTTCCCTTGGGTTCTCAGTGGAACATAGGGCTTCAACTGCACGTCTCCACTTGTTTCTGTCTTCTGCTGTACTTTTCACCTGCATCCATGTTAGTCAATACTGTTTCAACCAGTGAATAACACAGTACCCACCGGAATTTATTCAGACATATATGAAGAACCATAGAAAAACTAAGACTAGCAATACAAGTGACGAAAATAATATACAATTCAAAACCTCCGTAGTACTGCCGTAAAAAGAAGGAACATCAGACGCCTTACGTAGGATTCTCAATGAGTCTGGAGTTAGTCAGGGTAGCATTTAAATCAACCAACCAACTATATCAGAGATAAACTTTGTCGACTTAAGGACCCAATACATCCAATTAAGGATAATAACATAATTTAATAAATATCACGTAATGACTGTGAGTGAGGTCAATTACATGGGTGAAACTCGTAGATCAGGATCAATTAGATTATTGGAACATAAAAATTTAGCTAGACCCAGGATAATTGACCCTGCTAAGTTAAATAACATACAAAACAAATGATTATTGGTAATATGGTCTGAAAGCATTTTCTATGCCACAAATGCATTCAATCTTCATAATATCCGTCGGTGGCATAGCGATTAGGACTCTCGCCGACTATGCACATGGTTCAGGGTTCAATCCCCCGCCGACGCACAACTGATATCTATGGTCGGCCTGCAAAATTTGAGCTACTGATAGCATATGCTGAAAATTCCATAATTGTACCAAAAATACTGTGGTTTCAAGCTATAATAAAAAAATCTAGTAAACCTAACTGTTTTTCCATGTTACCAATCTTTCTTCCGTACATTAGTTAGAGCTCAGTATAGTTCTTCTGAATGTCATTTCTTCACTGCTATGTGCTACATGGATTGTAGCTCCACTTCTTTGCAAAGTTCTGCATTGAAACTTAGTTAGTCAGTTGGGAGATGTAGTAATTTCATGGAGAACACAGAACACAAAGTGTGGGGTGATGCATCTGCATCATTAAGAAACGATTCTGAGCAATTCCATCTAAAGTCTCCAACTTTCTAAGTGGTCAAACAATTTGGTGGATGGTAACTAGTAGTGGATGAATGCAGGATGCACATTTCATGATACTCGAGACTCATTGTCTGGACTTACTTGCATCAACCAGTGAGGCTGGGACCCAGTAGCCATCGTTTCAAACGCCAAAGCCATCTCTTGTGCAACGGATCTAGTGGGTAACGATTTGGTCTTTGAAACGATGGCTACTGAATTCGGGCCTTAATGGGAACACCATCACTCGCTGAGGACAGCAGATATGCGCAATTGAAGAATCCCAAATGGGATGAAATGCATATCCTCGATTCATCTACTGCAAGTCACCATCCAGCCACCGATCAACTTCCTCGACGCAGGTAATATTAGCCGGTGACATAGGATTGACAAGGTTGGAAAAGAGCTAGCACATGGTGGTCAAACGAAAACATAGTTTCATCAGTCAATCACATCCATAACAGTTAGTTTAAGCCAGGCAGCCAGCCAGCCACGTAGGGAGGAGTAGACTTCCTAGCTACCTGGTTGGGTTCCTTAGGGATGATAGGAACCAATGTTGGCTGGAGACAATTGGTGATATGGCTCAAGATCCTGTTGACTCTCTTATATTGGCTTGTGTGCAACATGAAGGGTGAGTGACAACTTGAACAGGTGCACATTAGTGAAAAGTTCTATGGTGAAACCAGTCAGTCAGTTGACTAGACTGAAGTGAGTGGCAGCGAGATATGGAATTTGGAAACCACTGAGTGAAAGTCAAATACTTGAGTAAATCAGCCTACTACTACTAATACTAATAAAAATGTTGACAACCACAAGACAATTGTCTAAATGTCAGAATTATTATTGTCGCCTTGGGTTCCGAGTAGAACATACAACTTGAACAGCATATCCCTATTTTGTCCCCCACTTTGTCAGCATTACTTCCCAGCTGATCCTACGGGAGCGTATAGTCTCTGAACTCCTCTCTCTGCCACTCTCGAACATCTATCTCATCATTTCCTATTCAGATTCCACTCAAGTGATAGCCTGGCGAGTGACCACATTCGACGTTCTCCTCGGCCAGTGTTCATTCCATCTTCATTTCCTCCGGGATATTTATTGAACGATAAGATTCTTGGTTAATTCATTCCTAGAATTTCTTTGTTGTTAATTCTTTCTAACTGACCATCTGATCATCAGTATAGAGTAGTCAGCAAAGGCATCCAACACTGTTGATAAAAGTCTGCAGATGGTTTAATTGGAAATGCTTGTCGTGATGCGCTAACCAGTGAAATTTCTAATCGATAATACTGAGTGCAGAAGATTTCCGAGCTGATTTTACAGTGAGATGAACGTTTGTCGGTCTTGCCTTTCGTATAAATAAAAATGACACCCTCGTCTAGTTAACTAACTACCTTGTTAGCTTTCTAGCTATATGACAGTGCCCCACAAGTCAGTCAGGTGATCCACAACGGAAAACTACTCAGTGAGGCGTTCGAAGTGAATACAGGAGTAAGACAAGCTGGCTGCCTGCCTGCCTATTATCACCAAGAATGATATTCTTAATTTCTGGTGGACTGGATTATGCGTCAGACTGTGCAATCGGAATGAGCAGACACGAATCGGCTGGACCACCGATAAGAAGACTCTAGAAGATCTGGATTTTGCGTGTGGGAATGATTTATGTCTAATGTTAGACAAATTCGAAGAGTTGCAGGCGAAAACCGACAAACTGGTCGAAAAGGCTGGCGGGGAAGACAGAGAAGATGGAGGTGATGAAGATAACCAACCACCACCAACAGCAACCAGCACCAACCACCATCAACGGGAGAGATTTAACAGAGGTTGCCTCCTTCACTTATCTAGGGATCATAGTTTCGACCACAGCCAGCAGAAGGGATGAAGATGTTAAAGTCCGTCAGTCAGAATTGGAAAGGCAAAATACGCCTTCATCAACCTGAAACCAGTTTGGAAATCTTCTGCATTCCACCTCAGTATAAAGAACAAGATTCGGATTTTCAACACCAATGTGAAGTCGGTCAGTGCTTCTATACCGGTCAGAAACTTGCACTGCGTGTAAGTCACGAAAAAGATTTCCCACAGCGTGCTGCAGACTTTTACCAACAGCTGCCTCTTCTCCGGCTCCATACTCAATGCCAAATGGCCAGCTGACCAGAGAGAATGAGCAAGAATGAGCAAACAACCAACAAGCAAGAGCCAATCGCTCAACAAATATGTAGAAGAAAGTGAAGATGGATGGATCGGGCATACATTGAGGAGGCTGTCGAATGACATCGCACACCAGACCATCGCTCGAGTGGAATCCCGACGGGAGGGGACGAATGGGTCGTCGATGCAAGGGTGACATGGGAAGAGATCGTGTGGCGAAGAGGAGATGAGAGTTTATAGTCAATCCCGGACACAGCTGAAGAGGACGGCAGACAACAGAACAAAGTGGATTAGTGTAGTCGAAGCCATTTGGTCCACTCGGAACCCACGAGAATAACAATAACAATAATAATAATATACACATACTACTAAAATAATACAAACCTTATTGTTTACATTATTATTATTATTATTCCCACACTGATCATATTGACTACGTTGATACTCTTCAATCCTCCCGTCAATAACAACTCCAGTTTGACATATACAACCAGCATAGATAGTAACACGTTGACCAATCGATGGTATCGGTGTTAAAATAATCGGTGGTGTACCCAATTTAAAAGAGACAATCGGTAGACGACAGGTTAAGCGTAGCTTCACAGTCCAGACCACTGAAAAATTGATAGAATCTTTTGATGCCAATGGTTGATTCCAAATGAATGCATCATACGAAGATGGTGAAGGCGAAAACGGCGATGACGTCGAGGAGGAGGAGGCGGATGACGATGAGGATAGAGGAGAAAGATTAGAAGATGTAGACGGAGAATTTGGATTTGTAGGGGATAATAATAATGATGATGATTTCGAGAGACTTTTATTGATTAACATTGGATAAGTGAGTAGAACCATGCCACGACGTAGTTTTACAGATGAATGCCACATCTTATCGGTATTACTATCATCATTCGGTTCTTCATTGTAGGGGATATTTTCTTCATTCCCAGTGTTATCATTATCATTCCCAAATAATAAATATTGTGATCGTTTATTTTGTTGATTCATAACACTATTTGTGTTATTATTATTATTATTATAAGATGAAGAAATATTTTGTAATATATGAATACGTTGGGTATAACTTAGAGTGTTCCACGACTTTGGTAAGAAATGTACCTCCATTGAAGCTAATTGACCAGCATAGACAATTTCATGAACTTGACGATTATGCATTAGACTGACTATTTGAACTGGATAAAAATCACCAAACTGTAGGAGGGGGGGAGGAGGGGAGGAAACACAAAAAATAAACATTAAGAAACAAGAATTAATTCGTATGACTCAAAAATAGTCAGTCATTATTGATATAAGTATAAAACTTGGGCACTGTGGTGGTAGAGTATAACTCCATTATGGATAAGATTTTATTTTGATAAAATCACAGTGTTTGTTGTACAGTAATATTAACTGATGACAACGTTTCGAGCACAAACTATCACCGCTCATAAATCAATATAGGATAATGTACATTCAGAAATAATAATATAAGTGTTATCAATCAAGTACAATCAGATGGGAAATAAGACGAGTGTTTTTATAGTCAAAATAAATAAGTAACTTGTTAGAATGTTATGATGTACGTGAATTGAAATAGAATTTTAAGATTATTTATTATCCTCCTCTGATTTGACTGACTGGTGGTAATAATATCTTCCATATTTATGGTATTTGCATTGCGTCATTTCTATTGCATCTGTTGGGTGCAGACTCGATGAACCAGGCAGGATTCAGTAATTAATCTCTCTCTCCACCTACCTAGATTACTTCTTAGAATTTTAACCCTCTCCTTCCCACCCTATTGTGTGGTTATGTGTTAATGCATGCAGTGCAATGTAGTGCAGAGGTTTTTTCTAAATTACTTATCTTCTCGGGGCAAGCCATTCTTATCTTAGCTAAATTCTTATGTTCTGACAATCTGACTACCCCTGACCTACTACTGTTTGACCTATGTAGTTGACCTCACAGTCATTGCAAGGTATTTTGTAAATTATATTATTTTGTCTCATTGGGTCCACCGGGTTCTTTAACCTACAGAGCTTGTGCTGTCTGAGTGAGTTTGTAGGTGTTTGAATGCCACCCTACTTCCTGCTTTATTAAGAATCCTACGCAGCGAGGGTCTCAGATGTCTCCTCCTTATATGGCATTGCAAACTTGACTGACAGAATTCAGTCTACAGCAAACAAAGGACTAGACACATTACACTGGTTACTAACTAGTGTGCAGTACATTATTATCATTATTATTATTGTATCCTTTAATTCCTACAGGAACATAGGGCTTCAGCCGTACGTCTCCATTGTGTTCTGTTCTCTGCTAGAGGCTTCACCTGGCTCCATGTCTGCCCACACGTTTTCATCTCCTCTTCACATGACCTCCTCGAAGTCACCCTTGCACTGACGACCAACTCGCCGCTTCCCTTTCGGGTTCCACTCGAGCAATGGCTTGTCTAGTGATGTCACTTGATGGTTTCCTAAGAGTATGGCCAATCCATCTCCATTTCTTTCTGCCTATTTGTTTCACAATCGGTTCCTGGTTGGTTCGCTCCCAAAGATCCCTGTTGCTGATCTTTTCTGGCCGACCATCTGATCTTGAGTATTGAGCGAAAACAACTGTTAATGAAGGTCTGTAGTTTGTTTGAGATGCTCTTTATGACGCGCCAAGTCTCTGATCCGTATAGTAGCACTGACTTCACATTGCAGTTGAAAATCCGGATCTTATTTTTGATGCTGAGTGTTGTTGACCTCCACACAGACTTGAGAGTAGTGAAAGCTTGTCTTGCTTTTCCGATTCTTGCTTTGATATCCTCTTCAGTTCCGCCCGCCTGTAGTTGAGACGATGCTTCCCAGGTATGTAAAAGAGGTTGTTTCTTTCAGTTTCCTCCCATTTATGCTGATTGTTGTCAGTTGTTGTTGTTCTTGCCCAGGAATTTTCATCACCTCTGTTTTATCTATGTTCACCTGAAGTCCTATCTTTGATGCTTTTTCTGCCAACTTGTCGCTTTTCGCTTGCATGTCTTCCAGTACACTAGTGCTTACAAAAAGCACGGTAATAATAATAGTGCTAAGCAACCTAAATAGGTAGACATTTAAGAAAAGACACGATCAACTTACATGATCAGGACCAAGCCACAGTATTTGATTATTCAACAATTGACCAAGTTGTACACGTCCAACTAGAACGGGATTACACACTCCCGGGATTTGTGTATACACTTGATTTATCCAAAACAGTGTACCATTAAAATCTCGATATGTTTTAATAATTTTTATTTCTTCACTGATTTTACTTAACATCAACTGAATTTGATTTTCATTTGAGGCAAGAAAAATATCTGTTGAATTTAAAGATTGCGCTTGTTTAACATGTTCAGCGGTGTTCAAGGGTTGATTTGATGTAGGCTGTTTTTTTTCTTGTTTTAATGATAATCCCCCGTCGATTGATTGATTTAAACAACTTAAACGACTTAAAAATTTAATTAAATGATCAATTCCTTGACCAGTTACAGAGGACACAGGAAAAAATGGTGGCATACACTGATTTCCGTTTGAATCTCTGTCGATAAGAAGGAAGATATTTGAAAAATAGATGTCATAAATGTAAGAGTAATGGCTATCATGGAACAATAATGTGACGCTGTAACAAAATATTTAAGACGAATTTTATAAATGGTCTCCTCCGGGGCTGTAAATGACTTTGGTTCAGTCGAGAGTGGATAAGACACTCCTGTCTTTCTCATATGGTCGCGCGTCCACAGCCTCGGCTAGATAAATAATATTCACTGGCGCGTACAGGGCTAATAGCCAAACGTTCAGTGCTCATCACTAGACTGGTGGGGGTATGGGAGTTCCGATTACAAACCTGTGGTGCACATTGTTATTATTATTATCATTATTGTCCTCTTGGGTTCCGAGTGGAACATATATATGTATATATTAGGCTAATTGGTCACAAAGAATTAGCAACAAGCAACTCTAGCTGAGAACAAACCAACCAAGAGCCGATAGCTCGAAAAATATGTGGGAGAAAATGGAGATGGATAGATCGGGCATATGTCGAGAAGGCTGTCAAGTGACATTGCAGACCAGGCCATCGCACGAGTGGAATCCCAGTGTGAAGCGACAAGTGGGTCGCCGATGACATGAAGGAGGTCGTGTGAGTTGAAGGAGATGAGGGATTATGATCAATCGTAGACCCAGCTGAAGAGGACAGCAGAAAATAGAACCAAGTAGAGGTATGTTGTCGAAGCACCATGTTCCACTCGGAAACAAAGGGAATAACCATATATAACGTAAGTTATGAAGCTGTGTGTGACTGACTGGTGTTAACATAGAACTTTGCACCGATGTGCAGCAGTTCGAGTCGCCACACTTCATTCAGCACACATAGCCAGAGAAATTGAAAAGAAATGCAAAACAGAGACGGTAAATAGAGATATAAGGCAAAAAGAATAGTAATATGGAAGAAGAATATAGTTTTATTAGATATTATAAGTCACAAGGAGTGAATGCATCTGCGCCAGCCATCACAGAGAACGATTTTGAGCTATATCACCAGCCTTCATTGGTGTTTACCGTCTCAGGACCCCAACCAAGAAGTTTACAAATCCCTACTAGGCTTAAGCCAACTGTTGTGGATTTCATACATTTATTCCCCTAAATGAATTTGAACAAAGCAACAACTACAGTTTTAGCAGAATAAAATGGTACCATCACATCGTTTATTTCGTCGCCTTCTCGTCAGCTGCTTACAGGGCAAAAACATTATTAAATGTATCTACAAAAACAATTTAACATACTTGCACAGAGTTCATTTTAAACAAAAATCAATCGAATAGACACGGAACAAAGAGTACTCTTTTCGATAAATTCATCATCAGGTTCTACAATTATATATACATTATAATGTATATATAATTGTAGAGCCTGATGATGAAGAGGTTATCGAAAAGTGCACTCTTTGTTCCGTGTCTATTCTTTTGAAAATTTAATGGGCATTTTTAATCAGTTAAAAATCAATCGATCAATATAGGCATACACTAATAATATACACATATATATGTGCAATATTAAACACTATTCCGAACAATAATAATCATACACAATGAAAACTTTTCAGCATCTCGCATTCGGATGAAGAATATCCAGTTACCAGGGCAACACATTGCGAACCTGACTGATAGAATTCAGTCTGCACCAAAGAAAGGACTAGGCACTTCATACTAGTTACTAGTGTCCAATCAAAATACCCACTACAGTCCTACAGGAGGTCAATCGCGAGCCCAAATAACTGGCTCAGTGGTAACGTCCCCGACTGCAGCACTCCGTGGGTGACGCGGGTTCGAATCTCAGAAGGGACACGAGTTCCTTCTAGGTTGCAGATACGTCTTGCTGACCAGTGGTGAGTGCCAACTAGCACGAAACCTAGGTCCAAGGCTTCCTGCTGATTGCCTCCAAATATCTAACAGTTCAACTATTTTGGCCGATGTATTTCACCTGACAATCATTCCAGCAGGGTATTAGGGCTCCATCAGATCAACATATTCTGATTGACTTTATAGGTTTGAATGCCACTTTTATCCCCCATAAAGTTTTCGAAGTTCCTTCTTTGCATGAAAGTACAATTGATGATTTATATTCCTTATTATTGAGTTTTGCCATCATCATTCTGTGCATATTTTGTCATTATGCTTGCTACTAAAAATATTATTGTCAATTTTATTTTTACATTTCCCTACATACTTCCTGAATAATTTATCAGGGTAATTATTGATTAAGTTTCAAAGCTTCTCTGATATGCCTCACCTTCTGTCTCACATATTTCCTTGGTACTATTTTATTCTTCTGTTCTGACCGACTGCCTGAACATTTCGCCAAGCCTATTTTTACTGACTTATAGTAGGATGAGCCGAAATCCAAATATCCGTTTGAATGTGTAGGATATCTGTAAACACTAGTGTGTGTTTAACTTTGGTAACAACAGTGATAATACTGTGGTGAGAGCTGGTTGTGAACAAGCCAAAATTGTAGACAACAATTTACGTCAATGTTTCCATCCCGAATCCGGGTCATGAGAAAAAAACGATAACAAAGTTTAACCTTGAGAAAGCCACCATGCAATCACAGTAGACTTAACGTGTGGAAATACGATTCGCAGATATGTGGCTTAACTTTCTGAGAAAGGGTCACAAGTAGTACAGAATAACCTTCAGCAGGAAAGCAACCAATCAGAAGACGTTGCTCTTCTGCTAACAATAACGCTAATTATAACGTGCATAAATATCTATAAATATCTGTTGATTTTCTAAATAAACGATGTGTTGCCTGGCGGCTTTCTTCTGTCGTTACAATACTAGTAGCGATAATAATAATCACTTTATTCCATACAATAATAATAACAATTATACAGAATGGAATTTTCAGCGCTTTTTATACATATTACAACAATTTACCTCCTTTTACATAAATATGGACGTGCATACAAATTAAAATAGTAATAATAATATTGATATTAATAATAATAAGACCACTATAAGCAGAATGTTGGTGGAAACATAATGAACTATAAGTGGATAGTATCATAGATAATACATGTAATAATAATAATATTCTTTGCTTATACTTTGCAATTCAGATTACTGATTTAAAAAGTTTATAAGTTCTTCTCTGACATCTGACTCTCTCTATTCACACACAACTACCCGTGCTAAATATGGTGGTATGGTAGAATTTTTATATTTTGTGGCTGTACATGCATCAATTCTTATGAAGTTTCTTCTGGATTCACCCCAGAAGAGATTCACAGAGACAGCTGAGAATAAGCAGAGAGGATCTTCAGCCAAATGCTTGGAAGAATGGAGGTGCCTATCAACAACACTAATTTCAGTTAGCTGAGTCGAAGATGGCACTCCACTAACCCTACTTACAGCCTTCATTGTTTTACGTAATTCGATATAGTCGTTTTTGAGAAGTCCATGGAAGGATAAGTGGGGCGAACAATAAAGAAGGTGAATGGGCGGAATACACGAATTAACAATAAATTGTAAGTGAAGAGGTTGAGTTATGGTGCCAGCAGAAAGTCTCAACTCCTTTATGTAGCAATAGGTCAAACGAAAAATCTTTTTAGAAATCAACATGATATGAGAAGACCAACAAAGAGATTCGAAGAGAAACTGATACCGAGATGAGAGATATTCGATTTACTCCCTATCATACAGAGCCGTCAATATTACACGCATGTCTTGTCGGCATCTGAAACTAAAATCAACAATATGATAGATTCAGTTTTGAGGCTGTTTATGACTGAGACAATTTGTTAACTTCAGATAAGAATATTGAAAGCTCTTCCTTGCTCACTTTTTAATTCATAAATGAATTGAATTGCCTCTACCTTTGAGTTAACCTTTATGTGTTTTTTTAAATACCGTGCATGCGTTATCTACATACTCCCAGCATACTACTTTGGAGATGGAGGCCGAACTTTTTTTGTCGTTAAGTTTTTCCCACCTATCCATGTGAATATATATGTCTACCACTTTCGGGAATAGCACTGATCTGATAGAAGAGTAAGAGAACTATGGAAACCGAGTTTCAACACTGTCTAGTTATAATCAATGATGATAGGATAATAAGTAATATACATAAACTGTGTCGGTGGCATAGCGGTTAGGACGCTCACTGACCATCCACATGGTCCGGGGTTCGATCCCCGGCCGACGAACTCCTTTACCTCGCTAAGCCAGAAATAATGCTGGTGAAGAGGAAAGGTTGGACATGAGGCTAGCAACCCCATCCTGTCAAATAAACACCGTTACAGAAACTTCAAGCCACTAGCTTGAAGCCCTATGTTCCACTGGGGAACGTGAAGGGAAAAAAACGTGTTCAGAACTTAATCATCCAGCAAAATGATACAGTTTTCCACCATGTGTGTGTATGTGGGGTGGTGGTGATATATATACCGAATATACAACGTAATATGAAATTATTAGGTAAGTATCGAAGTTATCCGTAAAACGAATTTTATTTCCTTTTATTTCCCATCTGCTCGAATAGGGGTAAGACAGAGGCGGCCATATACGATTTGCAGTCCCTCAAGTACTTCTCAGTTTTATGTGACTGTATGTATTACGTGCTTAGAAAAATCCTTGTTGTTCTAAAGGTGTTTTCCCCGGTCATTTTTTGTTAAACAGCTGGAATATATCTTCAAGTGTTAGTTTGTAGGGATTTGATTGGTTACAGGACTTCATCATGAGCTGACATTGGTTAGAGAACCATTAGAAAACCTGCAGGGATTACTGGACAGCCATTGGATCGGATCCCAGTGGCTTAATGGTCTACGAGCTAGCTCGCATTATAAGCAGAAGGTCCTGGGTTCGAACACCGATGGGTGCGTACTGCTGAAGAGTCCCAACACTGTCTAGTACTCCTTGCAGGTTTTCCAATGGTTCTCTAACCAATGTCAGCTCATGATCAAATCCTGAAATATACCTGTTGTGGAGTTTGCCATTATTATCAATATTATTCCCTTGGGTTCCGAATGTAATAGAGAGCTTCGACAGTACATCTACACTTTGTCCTGTTGTCTGGAGCTGGCCTCACGACTACCCGCATAAGTTGTCATCTCCTCCTCACAAGATCTCCTCCATGTCACCGTCGGATAAATATCCAACTCCTGGTCTTTCATTCGGCTTCCACTCAAGCAATGCGGACGATTTCATTCGAGAAGTCTTCTAGGCGTGTTGACCAATAGCTTCTTCATTAATTCATTTCCAAAGTTACTTGTGTTACTCATTCTTTCCACCAGCTATCTGATCTTCAATAACGAGCTAGCGAACAGAGTTGTTGATAAAAGTCTATATAGTAGCCTGTCACAAATGCCCTCCAAGTTCCTAACCCATATAGAAGAACTAACTTGTTTGAGATTGGTGCTGCTTCGCTAACTTACACCGTCTCTGGCGTAGGCGTGACATCCGGCTGTCAACCAAGGGACGTGTGTACTGCTCAGCAGTTCGCTCCGTCCTTCTCTATGGTGGTGAGACGTGGCCATTGAGAGCGGAAGACATGGAGAGATTGTCTGTTTTTGACCACAGATGTTTACGATCTCTCTCTCGCGTTAGGTGGTATTATAAGGTAAGTAATGTTGACGTTAGGCGTAGAGTGTTGGTTGGGCAAAGAGGGAAAATCAATCGAAGAGGCTATGAAGTTACATAGATTGAGATGGCTAGGTCACGTGCTGCGCATGCCTAGCAATCGCCTCCCCCGACGGGCATTACTAGCTGATATAGGTGTAGGTTGGAAAAGAGTTAGTGGTGGCCAAACAAAAGCATGGCCTCATCAATCCATGAAATCCCTGACAGTTAAACTGAGTCAGGTAGGGAGATGCAGACTTCCGGGTTGGGGCCCGCCCTCGGGACTCTAAGAATCAATGGCTGGAGACAATAGGTGACATGGCTCAAAATCGTTGTCAATGGCTTACGCAGATGTATTCAGTCTCTTTAACCTTCATATTCCTTTGTACCATTACTCATTCTGTTTCACTCTTATACCTGTCAAAACTCTATTGATTCTCTTCACTCATCTTCTTGTCTACCTTTGTGTGCTATTTGGAACGTGGCAACTCGAACTGCTGCACTTCGGTGCCAAGTTCTATGTTGAATCCAGCAGCAGCAGCAGCGGCAGCTGAGTTTTCCACTGTGGATCACCTGACACATGGGGCATTGTCATATAGCCGGCTGTGGCTGAATAAAGTTGATTTAGGGCGTTGCACGTCATACTGTTAAAGTAGTTTCCAAATTACTTCTCGGTCAACACTATCTGTCGAAGACCTTTTCAAATTTAGGCAGAGTGAGATGTGATGACTGTTCGGTGATGATGATGTGTAGATTCGCCTTTCCTGAATCCACCATGTTCCATCGGATAAAGTTCTGAGCCCCATACACCTATAAGTGATTTTATTCCTTATAATGCAGAAAAAATGAAGGAACAATGAAAATGACCTTGGCATAATTCCTATTTTGTGTGTGTGTGTCATCAGCTGATAGAATACACATGAGGAATACGGTCAAAGAAAAGTCCA